GTCCAATTCCTTGAAATACACAATCTGCCAAAAGTCAACACCAGAAGAAACAGACAATCTGTATAGGCCTAAATCTATTAAGGAAATTGAATTAAGAATTAAAAACCAAATATTCAAGGAGATATTATACCAATTCCCTACAACCTCTTTCAGAGGATAGAAGCAGAGGGAATACTTCCTAACTCATTCTATGAGGCCAGCGCTACCCTAATACCAAATCCAGACAAAGACAATACGAGAAAGGAAAACTATAGACCAATATCTTTCATGAACATAGATGCAAATATCCTCAACAAAATATTAGTAAATTGAATCCAACAATGTATAAAAAGAATTATACACCATAACCAACTGAGATTTACCCCAGGTATGTAAGGCTGGTTCAACATGAGAAAATCTTTAGCGTAATCTGTCAGATCAATAGGCTAAAAGAGTAAAATCACATGATCATAATAAAAGATGCAGAAAAGCATCTAATGCTTTTTCTAAATCCAACACGCATTCATGATAAAAACTCAATAAACTAGGAATAAAGGGGAATGTCCTCAACTTGATAAAGAATATCTACAGAAAATCTACAGCTAACATTATACTTAATGGTGAAGAACATGAAATTTTCCACTAAGATCCACTAAGATCAGGCATAAGGCAAGGATGTCCCTTCTCTTTCTAGCTAATGCAACAAGACAAGAAAAGGGGAAAAAGGTATACAAATTGGGCAGGAAGAAATAAAACTGTCTTGTTTGCAGATGACATGACCGTCCACGTAGAAATTCTGAAAGAATTGATAAACTCCTGGAACTAATAAGCACTTGGAGCAAGGCTGCAGGATATGAGGTTAATATGCAGGAAAAATTGCTTGCCTATGTACCAGCAGTGAACAAGTGGAATTTGAAATTAAAAACATAATAACATTTACAGTAGCACCCAAAAAAGTGAAATATTTAGGTGTAAATCTAACAAAATATATACAAGATTTATAAGAGGAAACAAACAAAACTCTGAAGAGGGAAATCAAAGAACTAAACAAATGGGGAGACATTCCACATACTGTTAAGATGTCCATTCTTACCAACTTGATCTATAAACTCAACGCATCTCAATCAAATCCCAGCAAGTTATTTGTGGATGTCAGCAAACCAGTTCTAAAGCTTCTGTGAGAGGGAGAGACCCAGAACGCCAACACAATGGTGAAGAAGAAATTCAGAGGCCTGACATTGCCCAACTTCAAGACTTACTATACAGCTATAGTCATCAAGACAGTGTGCTCTAGCAAAGAACAGACAAACAGGTCAATGGAACAGGAGAGAGAGCCAGAAACAGACTCACGTGAACAAGTCAACTGATCCTTGACAGAGGAGCAAAGGCAATACAATAGAACAAAGTCTCCTCAACAAATGGAGCTGGAATAACTGGATGTCCACATGCAAAAATATGAATCTAGACATAGACCTTACACCCTTCCCCAAAATGAACTCAAAACGGATCATAGACCTAACTGTAAGATGCAAAACTATAAAACCCTTAGAAGATAACATAAGAGAAAATCTGGATAAGTTGGGTATAGTGATGACTTTTTAGATACACCACCCAAGGCATGATGCGTGAAAGAGAAAATTGATAAGCTAGACTTTGTTAAAATTAAAAACTTCTGCTCTGTGAAAGACAATGTGAAGAGAATGAGAAGACAAGCCACAGACTGAGAGAAAATATTTGCAAAAGACATATCTGATAAAGGCCTGTTATCTAAAATATACAAAGAACTCTTTAAACTCAACACTAAAAAAACAAACCACCTGATTGAAAAATGGGCTTAAAGACCTGAACACATACCTCACCAAAGAAGACATTCAGATGACAAACATGACAAGATTCTCCATATCATATGTCATCACAGAATTGCAAATTAAAATAAGATACCACTACACACCTAGTATAATGGCCTAAATCTGGAACACTGACCACATCAAATGCTGGCGAGGATGTGGAGCAACAGAACTCTCTCATTGCTGGTGGGAACGCAAAAACAGCCACTTTGGAAGACAGCTTGGCAGTTTCTTACAAACCTAAACATACTCTTACCATATGATCTAGCAATTGCTCTCCTTGGTATTTATCAAAAGGAGCTAGGAACTTATGTCCACACAAAAATCTGCCCACAGATGTTTATAGCAGCTGTATTAATAACTGCCAAAACTTGAAATGCAGAAGTTCAGTTTGTGACTTCAAATCTCTGAGGCAAAGATGGACCCTTAGTGAGCAGACAGCCATTTGGAAAAAGACAAAATCAGGCCCACCCTTTATAGAAAAGTAAAACTCCAAATGGATCAGGGATCTACATGTAAAGTGAAACACAGGTACTGAGAGAAAACACAGGGCTGACCTCCTGAGTGTGGGAAAAGCCTCCCAACTATGATGCAGTGAAGAAAAGACTGATAAACTGAAGACACGGAATGGAGAAAACTTCTGCATGGAAAAAGCACTTTATAAGAAGAATCAAAGGCCAGTGACAAACAGGGAGAAGTTACTTGCAATATGTATTGGAGACAAAGGGCAAATATCCCTAATAATTGAAGAATTTTTAAAGTGAGAGGAAAATGACTAAACATCAAAATGGACAAAAGATACAAACAGACAGTTCACAAAAACAGAAGGCCTTTATACCTATGAAAACATCCAACTTCACTCATAGGGAAATGAAGCTTAAAACAATACTGAGACAGCACTGCTCACCCATCAGATTATAAATTGAAAAAGGTTAACATGCTGTTGGTTCCATGGAAGTGTGAAATGGAACGACCCCTGTGGAGGGGAATTTGGCAATACTTAGCAAAACTAATATGCATTTACCCTTGACCCAGCATTTCCACTTGTAGGAATCTACCCTAAAGATACCTCAAACAATACGAAAATATAAATGCATAAGGTTATTTCTTGTAGCATTATTTGAAGTTGGAAAATATTGGCAACGACCTAAATGCCCAGACACAGGAGATTGACTGAACAAATTATGGTCATCCACATAATGACGTACTATGTGATTCAAAAAAACGAGAGACATCTCTGTGAACAGATGGAGTGATTTCCAGGAGATGTTCCAGAAGTGAAACAAACGAAGTACAATAGAGAATATATAGAATGCTGCCTTTTGTCTAAGAAAGAAAGGGAAGTAAAGTAAACAAGTATTTACTTACCTTTACAAAAAGAAAGACATGAAGGATAAACCAGAAAACAATGACGTGAGTTACTAAAAACAGGGGAGACGTACAGGAGGGAGCGACCTCCCTGAGCACAGCTTCAGGGACACTTCTGATTTCCAGCAGCATGGTCACGTCCTACCAACTAAAAAGGATGGGAAGTCGGGTCCTAAGACTGAAAGCAGACGGAAAGAAGTGAACTCAACTGTATTCCAAATGAAAAAACCACCACCTGAAGAGGGCGCTCACCCAAGGGACTGATCAACACAGCACTCGACGGTGAGCCTCCAGCCGCAGACGCAGGGTGAAGAAGGCAAACCAACCCTGCCTCTGTCTTGTGGGTCTGTCTGTTTCCTGCAGTCATGGCAAAGCAATTCTGAAACTACTGAACGTCTTGAGCAAATACACTGATATTGCTGGGGTCGGGCTTCTTCTCTCTGTGGAAGACGGGACATTCAGACATGGAAGGAGGGAGGCACATAGCCCAGGGAGATGGGGTGGGATTGGGGTATCACGATGGTGTCGTGATTTCTCATACATGTGCAAGTGTGTGCACACACCTCTGTCCTCACTAGCTGTCCACAGATAGGCCTAAAAGCACAGGCATCTCAACAGCAACGAGCATGCTTTGCACTCAGATCTTGGGCTTCAAAACCATTCTCCACCAAAAGGGGCCAGGGCCCCTCAAAGACACGGCTGATTCCAGGGCCAGGACAGAGAGGCCCAGGAGGAGCCTGGGCGGGACACCTTGTGCCAGGAAGGTTAACAATGAAGGGCCGGCTCCATGGCCGAGTGGTTAAGTTTGCGCGCTCTGCTTCGGCAGCCCAGGGCTTTGCCAATTTGGATCCTGGGCAAGGACGTGGCACCACTCATCAGGCCATGCTGAGGCAACATCCCACCCAGCACAACCAGGACCTACAACTAGAATATACAGCTATGCACTGGGGGGCTCTGGGGAGAAGAAAAAGAAAAAAAATTAAAATAATAAAAACGATTGGCAGTAGATGTTAGCTCAAGTGGCAAAAAAAATCAAATTAACAGTAACAGGGCGTGTCACAAGGACAGAGCAGCTTGACAGCCCCCCAGGGAATCCTGTACAATCTGAACACCACAGTGATTAGACAGGGCCACTCACAGACCATTGAGGTCTAGCAGCAATCCATGCAGGCGTGACGGTGATCAGTGACAAATATCTGAGCACTGACAAATTACAACAGAGTGATAAACGCCAACAATAGGTAAATAACAAATATGGATGATAGACAAATGGGAGAGACAGGAGCTTGCTCACGTGGAGTACTAGTGCTGCCTGGCAGGCAGGGCGGCGGCGCCACAGAGACTGGCCTTGCAGGGGTCATGGGTGGGCGCCAAGGCCGGAGAGCTGGGGGAGGTCCTCCTGGTCTGAAGGTGTCTATGCAGACTGCTTGTCGGCTGCAGTGAAAGAGTGGAAACTACAAGGTGGGAAAGGCCATCACCTCCTTCCTGGGGCACCCTGAGGTGCTCAGTGCCAAGGCCACGCAGTGAACAACTCACTCTTGAATGGCTCAGCAGAAAACAGCCTGTCTTTATGCACATGCAGGTTATGTGTGCATGCGTGTAGTATGTGTACACGTGTGCATGTTGTGGGTACATGTGGTATGTGTGTGTGTGCAGCCTCACCCAGTTCTCTGCGTTGTCTTCAGTGCCTGCTGGTACTTAATAAATGCTTGCTCAGTGAAGCGTAAAAGTACCAAAATTATCACTTAAAAATAAAACCTAGGTGAAGGCAGTCTCTGGAAATATCACAGATCATAAGATCGCTAATAAAACATTAAAACATTTTTATTCTCATTCCTTTTTGAACACGTTTATCTTCCAAAATGTCATCTGCCATGGAAATGGTGTGCCTGTGACTACGAAAGAGGGCACATCCTGCAGCTTGGGACGAGTGTGGGGATGCACCCAGCAGCAGCTGAGGCTCACAAAGATGGGACTTCCCCAGCGGGTGCCACTTTAGGTGCCCCCAGAGGCCACGGGCAGCAAAGGTGGCATGCCACCAGAGCAGCTCCACAGAACAAGGCCTGCTGTCCTTGCCGCCGCGAGCAGCGCATGGTCCACACAAAAAGGATCTTGTTGCCCACCGTCCCCCTTGGCAGTGGCACTGGCCCCTTGCTCTCACCAGCGGAGTGCAGCATGGACGTGGGGCCCGCCGCCCAGGTGTCTGCGGAGGGGCCCACCTGCTCCCCAGGGCATGTCCGTGGCTCTTCGGTTGTCTCTCTGAACCGTGTCACCTGTCACGGCGCTGCGGAGCGCCAACATTCTCAGAGGGGCTTTGGTCCCCTCCCTGGGAGGAGTCTCTCCAGAAGCACCAGCTTTGTCTGCAGTTTGACGTCGAAGGGAGGCAGTTTGGTCACATTCAGACTCACACCGGTGGTGCCCGAGACGCTGGCCAGGACCCGGTGCGTGTCCCTGTAGAGGGCCAGGTGCCCGGGGGCTGCCTCCATGAGGAGGTGCGTGTAGGCCAGCATGTGCCCCGACCCAGGCTGCACATCTTCCCTCTTCTCGTACCTGCAAGACAAGAGCACAGTCATGCACCTGTGGCCCCTGCGCCAGCCCCTGGCTCCGGGGTACCAAAGGGAGCCTGTGCTCGGCCTCTAGGAGAAGCACCGCCACCTGCAGTCACGTCATAGCGGAGCATACCTCCAGGCGCTGTTGACTTCCAAAAACCGAGACACGCCTGTCTGTGCAGCAGCCACGTCGATGTGCAGAACGACACCTATGGAAAACCACGTCTGCTTGGTTAGAACCGCGAGCCGGGTGCCTCTGGCCAGAGCTGCAGCTGGTCCCTGCACAGCCCCGAGCACCCACCTGTTTGGGGGGGCACCAGCTCGTGCAGCCTCTGCATCGCCACACCACCGGGATAGTTGAAGTGGGACACGTACAGGGCCGTGGCCGAGTACGTGGCATTCACCATAAGGTGCCCAATCACAAGGAGGGACCCCACTTTATACAGCCAAGACTTCTTATAATTATTCAGTCTGGAAAAAAAACAATCCATTTCACAGAAAGGGTATGGCGGCAATTAAGTGGAGGATACATCATCAGGCACATATACCTGTTCCTCCCCTCCCCGCACTGTAACGAGCACATCACCCAATACATCACCATCAGAGACAGCGGGTAAAGGGCTACCTTGAAATTTTTCTCTGTGAAATTCTACCCAGATGCCAATTTAAAGTTTATATGAGACTTTCAAACGTCCCGAGTTGCTCCTTGGATCAGAGAATGGCCTGTGGGACAAACCCCATGCACTGCCCTCTTTGTAAGTGACACCAACGGGACACAGTTGGCTTTGCGCCTCAACGGCAGAGGTGGAGGCTGCGACAGAGACCGTGCAGCTGCAGAGACAAGAATATTCACTATCTGGCCCTTCACAGGAAGGTTTGCTGGCCCCTGAAAACTCAGGATGGACCCTTGACCAAACTCATCAGGCCCCACTGAGCCCTTCTCCACCAGGCCCCAGCCTCGGCCTCGGGGGACTGCAGACCCTCAGCACAAAGGATCTCGCCCACCCGACACTAAGACACTGGAGCAAACTCAAAGCTGCACCCCTAGGGTGGCCCCAGCCCCTGAGTGCCTGCCGGAGAAAGCTCCAGGCTGCCAGGAGAATTTACCACATGTTCCCCCCAAAACCTGGGGATGGGCAGGTGGCCTTGGACCCCTCCAGAGCAATGATTTTAGAAAGCTCATGATTAGAATCCTTTCTCTGCCCTTTAAGATGCAAATCTACCACCCAAATCCCTTTCAGTCAGGGAGACTAGCAGAGCGGAGCCTGGTGAGAGCAGCGGGAACAGGCTTTATTCGGTAACAAACCACTGAGTAGAGAAGAGGGTCCTGCGTGAGCTGCGCTCGGCTTCCCTGAAGCACAAGACAGGGGACTCCTGGCCAGGCTGCTGGGGGAGGGGAGGGGCAGGGCCTGACGGCCCCCTGGGCCTGCTCCTTGCCCACCCGGGGAGACGCAGACAAACTCTGGTTCTTAGGGCAGGAGGCAGGGGAGCAGGGCCCTTTGCTCCCTCAGGGACAGAGCAGGGTTAGCCCCCAAGCGTTGGCCTTTCAGAGACAGCTCTTCCCGGGTCCTGGAGGAAAGGGTCAGTCTGCCTGCCGCTCTGGGTCAGGGTCTGTCTACATGGCTCAGAGCACCCGGCCGTCCCTGGGCCGGGAGGAAGCCCCAGGCAAAAACACAGCAGCAGGGAGCTGGGGACAAGCTGTGAGTTCCTTCACCCGTGTCCCAGGGCAGCACAGTGACAAGCTGCCTCCCGCCCTTAACAGGTGTCCTTGGGAAAGTGAGGGCCATGAAGGGGTGACCTGCCCTCCTCCTGGCTCACAGGCTGCCTCAGGGCGCCTCTCCCACCTGCGTCCCTTGCGCCCCCAGCCCAGCCAAGGGGCTGGCCTTGGCCTCCTGTTCCCACCACAGGCAGTGACCATCCTGCCTCAGCCCCAGGCCTGCTCCCTGGTGAGCTGCAGCCCCACTCCCACCACCCCGCACAGCCCAGGGGCACCCTCCTCAGGGCTACCCGCGCCCCCTTCATTCTACTGCTGGGCAGTCTCCCTGCCTCCCTGCTTCCCTGCCCCACACCACTGCCTTTGTGTCCCCGAGCCTCGGCCTCCACTTGCAGCTCCTCTTCCTCACTCGGCTAGTCACCCTCAGAACCTCCCTGCCCTGCACCACGGCTACCTCCTAAGTGTCCTTCTCCTGAGTGACTGAGCCCTGGACAATTAGCACAGCTGTGTGCAGACTGGCCCAAGACACACGTCCCAGAAACCAAAGACCAGACAGAAAAGCAGAACCATGGGTTGGCAGGTGGCCAGTCCCATCCTGGCCTCGGCCCAGCGGCTTCACCGTCTCCACGGCCAGGCTGCCCTCTTTCAACACAGTGCCCACAGACACGTGCGTCTGCCTTAAAAATCTCCCCCTTTACGAATCAGTAAACCCGTGTCCCCTGAAAGCGAGGAGCATCGCGGAGGGAGCACTCACAGGCAGGCGCAGCCCCGGGCGGCCGCGATGTTGAGCACGGGGAAGACATAGATGACGAAGCGCAGCTCCTTGTGCGGGAGGAGCGAGTACAGGGCCACGAAGCCCAGCGCCGGCAGCAGCAGCGCCACGGCCCTCCTGTCCAGGAGGCCCAGGGGCACGAAGAGCAGGCTGCAGCCCAGGCCACGCGGCAGGGCCGAGTAGAAGTACCACAGCAGTGGGGAGGTCGGAGCGGGTTAAGGAGCCACACGGCCACCCCTCAGCCAAGCCCGGGCAACCGAGACAAGCCCTGACAGCTGCCCCGGCCTGCGGCCTCGGCCCACGGTGACGCCCTTCCCACGCGGACAGAGGCCAGGGTTCCGCATCAGCACCGAGGCTGCACTGCTCCTCTCCCGGTCCCTTCTTTTTTCACTGTAAAAAGCATCGCCCTGGGGTGCACTGGGGACTCATGATGCTATTCTTCCTATTTGTGTCTATGTTTAAATGTTCTACAATAAAACGTTTAAAAAAGCCTATTACCATGAGGACTGCAAGAGAAGTTGGGGCTACGAAAGCAAGGTGGTGTTTCCAGAGGGGACAGACTGCTGGGTGGGGGGACCTGCCTGCCACGTCTCCCGGGCAGGCTTGGTCCTGGTGCCACAGCCGCTGCAGCAGCTCCACCCCGTGCTCCTGTCCCTCGAGCGCACACCTCCCGTCAGGGGCGACACCTGGGAGGAAGGCAGCTCCTCGCGCCTCCGGCTGTCCTGCCCCACGACCACCTTACAGAGACACCTGAAGGATACGCCCCAGTTGGAACTTTTGTTCAGGACGGTGTTGTACCAAAGCACTTTTCCTTCCGGCCACACAAGATACCGCCAAAAATAGGAGTCCACAGCAACCGTCAGTCCTAGTAAGATAAAATAAAGAGTTCCTCAGGAGGGAACACGGCCACCTGAAAAGCTCAGACTTCAAGGCTGCTGGGTGAAGGGCAGCCCCAAGTCCCAGGTCCCAGGTAACCGTCCCCACAAAGCAGCCCTGTCGGCACAGAGGCCAGGAGCCACCAGCAGCTTCACATGAAGGAGCTGAGACATCGGGGTCCCCGCCCCCTAAATAAGCACCTTCACGCCGGTCCCCTCACGAGCACCGGTCCCCTCATGAGCCGGGCGCAGGGGCCGGCTGAGCTGCAGGAGGAGACCGGCGCACGGAGGCCCTGGCAGCCGGGGGGCGCTCAGGAAGAACAGCAAGGAGAACCACGTTAAGAGGTTTCAATACTGCTAAAAGTTAAAGTAATTTTATTTAATGAGAAAGAAAAACCAAAAAAACTCCCGAATTTCTCTTCATCTTTGTAAAATGAGACAAAGCACAGCCTCCGGGCAGGATGGCCCCTGGCGACTCCGACTCACCCAGGCAGAGACCCCCGGCCGGCACGGCGCAGCGCAGCGCCTTCCCCACGGAGAGCCGCCCCGTGCTCAGCAGCAGCAGCAGCACGAGGCCCAGGAACAGGCTCAGCTCAGCTCTGAAGACGAGGATGGCAAAGGCCGAGAGCCGGACGAAGCGGGCCCCCTTCTGCTGCAGCCAGGCCGTGAGGGCCAGCAGGACTGCAGGACACAGGGCGGCAAGAGTAGGCTGATTACCTTCTCAGTACAAAAGCAACACAGAACCCTCCAGAAGACAGCAAACACCACCAAGAACCAGATCCCCCACACGGGGCCTGGGCTCCATTGTAGACGCCGCCCACCCCCGCCGGCCACAGGCCTGCGGCCCACACTGTCACACAGCTTGGGGCCACTTCCAGTGGGCCTAACTGTGCCAGACCCCAGACGCCTGAGTCCTGCTTCCTATCTCCTCCGGAGCCTCAGGCTCCACACGCCCAGTGCCAACCCTGGCCACCCTCCACTCTTCCCTGGCCATTCCCAGGCACTTGGCACGGCCTCTGAGCTCCACTTGGGGTTCATCTGGAATGGCGCCCTGCTTGCCATGTTCCCCGCCATGTCCCACAGAGGTTGCTTCCCCGGGCTTGGTGAGGGCCAGGCCACACCTCTGCCCCAGTTGGCACAGACCCCCAGGCCCACGCCATCTGCAGCCTCCCCTCCTACCTACACTTGGCCTCCCTGTGGCTCCCAGAGCAGGGCGGCTCTCTGCCTGGGGCGCCTGACAACACCTGACAGAGCTGCCCCCATCTGACCCACATGAGGCTTTTTCCTCCCAGCACTCACTGTCCTCAGACCAGGGCCACTCCCACTCGGCCCAGCCACTGCAGGTCCTGCACGAGGGAAACCCTCCCAGGGGACCTGTGAAACAGACTCGTGCCCACCTGGCATTTGCTGGAAAGGACACCTCAACGCAGCACTGAGAAGAGATCCCCCTTCCTGCCAAGGCTACCCTGGCGCTGAGTGTTTGAGACACTCAGTGGAAAGCAGCTTTCTCCAGGCAGGCACACCTTGGATGGATACCCACTCACCTGTCCCCAGGCCGGTGTGCCCTGAGCCCAGCGAGAGGCATGGGGGGCCAGCACTGGGTCCAACAGACACGGCTCGGCGGCTACGTACCCACAGGCAGGGCCAGCACGTTGGGGAGTGTCCGCGTGCAGTAGAACATCAGGTGGAACTGCGTGGCCGTCACCCAGCAGAACATGGCGGCTACCGTGGCCCCAAACTGCCGTCTCACTTCTTTTTGTAAAGTCCAGAGTGCAAAAATCACACCGAGTCCGAGGACGGCTCTGACTAAACAAAGACGGCAACACACATGCAACCATCAGTGTGGACAGAAGCTGGGGCAAAGTGGGTCTTTGAAATGGTGGCTTGCAGTGGTCAGTTAATGACTAGGTGACAGAAAAACAGCCCTGAGACAGGGAGTCCTCTTTGGCATTAAAAATGGACTGGACATGGCAAACCGACAGCCTGGACCCCAGGCCCCTGACTCTAAAGCTTCGCTGTGAGCGCACGGCCCAGGGCAGTGGGCAGTGTCCGTGCGACAGCGCGACGAGTCCGGCACTAACATCAGGGGCCCCACCACACGGCTGTGACAGCTCCGGGGCCACATTTACCGAGGGCCTGATGGTCAGACGTGGCCCAATCTCCTGTCTGGGGCTCCAAGGCCCCACACGACCGGTACAGCCTGTCCCGCTGCCCCCGCGATGGGGGATTTCCATTTCCTAATCTGCCCTTTCAAGCAGCAGAACCACTTCTCCCCAGGAATGCGTACTTTCTCAAAGCTCTCCGTATGGGCCAGACCAACGAGCTACGTGAATGTGTCTGAGTCGGCTGGGGGAATCAGAATACAGTCTGGGTAGAGATGCAATAAAAATTTACTGAAATGGAAAGACGGTGATTGTTGGCTAAAAAATGAGGTTGCAGAGCAATATGTGCAGAATGTTCTAAATTTGGTTTTAAAAAATATTCACGTAGGCACAGAGAAAGGTCCAGAAGGATTTGCACAAAGGCCTATCTGTAGCAACCTCTGGGAGGTGGGAATGTGAGGCCTCCCCAGCAGATGTGCGGCTCTGGAATAATAAAGCCCTGCTCGGGTGCATGCAGCCCACCAGGCAGGGCTGGTGGCTCCCCTGCAGCCCAAGCGTGGCCCCGTGGGAGGTGCCTCACTCCTGCCTCATTCCTCCTGTGCCAGCCTGGGGAGGAAGGCACCATTGTAAGAGCAGAAGCAAGAGGCGCTCAGCTACGCGTCCCAGGTCACAGCCCAGAAAGGGCCGATGTCTGACCTCAACCTGTGCTCTGTACCACCCCGCTGAGTGGCCAGGGACAGCCAAGATCCCAACAGATGGATGTTCCTAGAGGAGGTAACTCAACCTGGTTGACTGAGCTCATCGATTACACCGTGGTTCTTCATTTTGTCCTCAGGTGAAGAACCCCTTACCTACTAGCTGAGAGTAAAACTTGGACACTTCTAACAGCGAGAGCACACACACGGCAGGGCTGGAGAGAACCGCAATCACCACCGGCCCGAGGAACGTCCTGGGCACCACTCCGGGGAACTCGAGATGGTCATACTGCAGGGAGAAAGGAGGGTCAGCCAGAGAGGCCCTCAGGAGTCGGGGTAGATGCGCGGTCCTGGACACACGTCCTCACCTTCTCCACGTCCAGCTGGTGGTAAAGCAGGTCATGCACGGCCTGCAGGCTGAAGCTCTCCTCCACTTTGGCATAGGGGCAGGTGACGAGGTGGACAGCGGCTACAGCAACCAGCAGCACCAGCAGCCGGCGCTGCCTGCCCACACCGGATGGCCTCTTCCCGGCCATTCTGCGCTTCAGCTTCACGTGCCTTCGTCGACTGTCAGCACCGCCACTCTGCAAGCATTTTGAAAGAATGAAAACGTAGATCCTCAAGTTTCCAAAATCACCCTTGCATTAGCATCTGGGAGACGTGGGTGAAGGGTAAGTGAGAGTTCTTTGAACTACTGTCATAACTTCCATAAATCCGAAAACACATCAAAATAGAAAGTTCAGAGGAAAATCATGCTTGAGAAGCTTTCGTATTTTAACCAGCTATCTTATGCTTTAGGTGGCATAAACATTCCTCCAGGAAGAAAGACTTTAGTTGCAGAACCCTGAGATAAGTCCGTGCAGCCAGGCCCTGGGCCGGCCTGGCCTCTGGAGCGCAGGAGGGCGGCCCCTGCATCTGAGAAGCTCAAATCTGGTAGGAGAGTTGGGTAAAACCTGAACTGGCCCCCATGGTACTGGCTGAGAGCCTGGACCGGAGGCTGTGAGGTAGGAGGGTGGGAGGGATGCACCTGGAGGATGAGAGGGGCAGGTGCAGGAAGGCAGGACGTGGGACGCAGGGCTCAGGGCAGCCAGCGAGGTCCCTGTGCTCAGGGACGGTGGGCTGGGGCTGTGGATGCCTACCCTGCTGTGTCCTGAACTTCACCCTGGGAGCCCCAGGATGGCGCCACGATGGTCATGAACATGAATACGTGGGTGACAACAAGCACGAGTGTGTCCTTGAGGGGTTCAGATACATGTGCCTGCGATGGATCTCCCAAATGCCAACACGACGATCTGGGGGGAACCCTGTTACGAAGCTTCCTGAGAAAACCCCGGCAGTGTCCAGTCCACTTCCTGCTCACGAAAGACCTAGATCTTTCCATCCTGGAGGGGGAGGAAAGATGGCAAACTTGTCTTCGTGTTCCTGGCTTCTCTTAAAACAGGTTTGACTTTATTTGATAGAAGGGGCAGAGGAGAGAGCCATGGTGCTTACTGCTTGTTAAAAGTACCTTTTGATTAGAGGGAGATTTAAGAAGTCTGTACTCTCCCAAGATGGCAAGTGAAGGAGAACCTGCAGGTCAGAAGGAGCAGGACTCCCGTCTGATACAGTGGGGGAGGTGGGGGCAGCTTTAATAATTAAGAATTACCAAAATAATACGCGGTTCCCCTTAGAAGTCACCTAACTTTTTTCCTTCCCAAATATAAAAAACACTGGATGGAGACAGGTGCTTCTAGCTTATTTGTCTTCCTCTTTCTAAAACGTAAGCTCCTCGAGGACGGGACTTTTCTGTTTGTTTCTTCCCCACCACTGTAACCTCAGCAAGGAGGACGCACTCTGGGCATTACAGGAGGCGCTTGCACGTGCTGAAGGAAAGGTACGTTTGCCTGTCTCCCCTGCTGGGCTCCGGCCTGTCCCGACTCCCCACTCACTGCTGCATCAGCAGAGCCTGGCGCACAGCAGGTGCTCAACAAACTAGCTGAAGAACAAAGTATGTAAAAACTTAAGCATGGATCTCACGCCAGCTTACGTTTTCATTAAAAATACGTTAAAGCTTTAGTTTCCAGTGAAGCCAAAGAGGCCACGGAACATTCATACACTACTCTCTGTTCCTCTTACTGTCATGAAGGAAAAAAAAAAAGAGTTTTAAGAAATAGGAAGCATCTACACAGCTAAGCCGTTGAAGCAGCTGCACAGTGCTGCTTGGCAGGAACCCGACACGGGCTCACAGCTGTCCCCAGTCAGCTGAGAACAGGCCTGTCCCCACACACCCCACTCGATGCCTCTGCCCAGAGGAGTTCCCCTGCAGGAAAATCCACACTCTTATCTCACAAGCTGTGGGGTGAAAAAGTATGTGCAGAACTCGGAGCCCCCTCCTGGCCCCGGGGATTCTCACTCAGATAAGGGTGTGCTCTTGCTGACACTGAGGGCAGAGACCAACCGGCAGAGCAGCTCAACCTGGAAGGCAAGGGCCCCAACGGGGGTAAGCAGAATGCTTCTCCAGGACGACGGGAAGACAACAGGGCATAAGCAAGTACAGAACCCACGGTCACCCCACCACTGGGGCTCGAGAGGGCCAGGGGACATTTCTCTACACCCGTCCAGCCCTGCTTGCAGGTGTTCGGATTGTTAATCTGAGGCATCAAACAGGCCAGACTCAAAACAGGTAGTTTACAGAGGGCGGCATCTCAGACCAGGGAATGGCCTACAGAGGCCTCCTGTCCCCAGCGATTCAGAGTCTAGGCCTCGACTGAAACTGGTCAAAGCAGACGTTCACACTATTAATCCCCTGGCTGGAAACACAGGGGATCTGGCACAAATTGGGCGGCTAAAGGCCAGGGAAAAGCGGGCGTCATTGTACTCCTTCCTTTGGCAGCTATGTCCTCTTAGACTCTACATAACGCTCCTCTTACTTCTCCTGATGCAAACCAGGACTCCCTGCCCACCCACCGCCTCGGGCACGTGGGCAAATGCAGATTCCTGGGCCCCAAAGAGACAGATCACGCCCCAGGTGAGCAGCCCGGCCCCACATGAAGAGCCCACCCCATGTGAGAAGCCCGGCCCCAGGTAAGAAGTTTGGCCGCCAGGTGAACAGCCCAGCCCCAGGTAAGAAGCCTGGCCCCCAGGTAAGCTGCCCGGCCCCAGGTGAGGAGCGCAACCCCCAGGGGAGCAACCCGGAGGCCTTCCCGCGTAGACACGCTCCGTGAGGCCGGAGGAGCGCTGCGGAAGCGCTGGTTTGGGGTCCCCGCCGTCCGCCCCGCGAGCCAGGGTCGTCCCCTCCCGCCGCCCGTCCCGAGAGCCCTGGACGCGGCTGCGCGCGCTGACCTCCCGGCCCCGGCTCCGTCCCTCGGAGCGCGGCCGCCCGGGCCGCCCTTGGCCGGAAGTGAGGTAGCGGAAGCCGAGAACGGAGGCGGAGCCCTTGCCCGAACCTAACACGGCCGCCTGGCCTAGCCATCGCAGCGGGCGCGCCCCTGCCCGGAGTAAAGATGGCCGCAGCGGGCCGCGCGCGAGGTGCGCTCGGATCTCCACGCCCCCGGCCCCACCCCCTCGCGGCGGGACGCTGACCCGGGGCCTTCCTATTGGTCGCTTCTCGTGGCGAGCCTGGATTGGGCCCCGTGGAAAAGGGGAGGGTCCCGCTGACCAATAGCGGCGCTAGGGCTGGCGGGGGCGGGGCCCCGGCCGACGCCGTCAAGTATCCCCGGGAACGGCCGGCGCGGCGGAGCCGGTGGGCGCGCGGAGGCCGGAGCGCTAGCCGGTTCTCGCTGGGCCTCGGCCCGTGCCCGCGCGGGTGCGTCCTCGCAGCGCTGCCCGCCTCGGCCCGCCATGCGCCCGCCGGCCCCGGCCGCGCTGGGGCTGCTGCTGCTGCTGCTGCTGCTGCTGCTGCCGCCGCCCGATCAGGCCGCCAAGAAGCCGACGCCCTGCCAGCGCTGCCGGGAGCTGGTGGACAAGTTCAAACAGGTGGGCCGGGGACCCGCGGACCCGGGGCGGGGGGCTGGGGACACGAAGCTGGGGGGCGGGGGGTGGGGGGCCGGGGGCGCGGACCTAGGGTCATTCCCTCGATGGACAGCGGCATCCCTCCGTAGACCAATCACCCTCGCGATGGATGGGGTAGGGGCAGCAGCGCTGAGCCCCCTGCCCACCGTCTCTCCACAGGGCATGGTGGACACAGCGAAGAAGAACTTCGGCGGTGGGAACACGGCTTGGGAGGAAAAGACGCTGTCCAAGTATGAATTCAGGTGGGCGCCCGCCCCTGCTCTGAGAGCCCCAGCGGCCTGCCTTTAGTACTTGATGTGTTCCTGTGAACCTTGTCACCCACCCTGATGACAGAAGGGTCCCTTTGGTGCGGTCACCTGTCCTCTGGCCTGGGACTAGTGCACTGGCCCCTAACTGATCTTTTGGCTTCCACACTTGTCCCTACATCCACTCTCCAAACAAAAGTCACGGTGGTCTTTTTAAAAAACACGCTGGAAGGTGAGTCCCCCCCACCTGAAATGTTGCTGGCTTCCCCTACAGGTGGGATTACCCCCTCCCCCTCTGCCCGGAGCTCCGGCTCCTCCTGCCCTGCTTCAGCTTTCCGCTGGTGGACCCCACACCTGACCACCCCCCTCTCTGAGTTTAATTCTCTGCATAGCACTGGCTACCCCATCCCCAGTTGATGTGTTTGTTGAGAGTCTTTTTTACACTAAGTGGCACCAGGTGGGGCCCCAGGACATCCCTGTAGCGTGCACTGACCACCAGGCACGTTCCCCCCCGCCTTGCAGTACTGACGGACCTTCTGTTTCAGTGAGGTCCGCCTCCTGGAGATCATGGAGAGCCTGTGTGGCAGCAGCGACTTCGAGTGCAACAGGCTTGTGGAGGAGCAGGAGGAGCACCTGGAGGCCTGGTGGCTCCGGCTGTGAGTGCCCACAGACCCGCAGCTCTTCCCGAGCCTTCACTGAAACCATCACAAATAGTTTCTTATCTTTTAACTTATAATTTTAAAATAACTTCGGACTTGGAAAAGTTACAAGAATGGCACAAGCGTTTCCACGTACGTGCCTGCCTCCTTAGCCACGTGTCACCATCTGTTGTTAGCATACTGCCACAGAGCAAGGCAGCCAGCCAGGGAGGTTCCCACCTACACTGCTGTAGCCCAGCCCTTAGCATACGCGGGAGCACGTGTGATAGTAGATGGCTTTTGTTTTGAACAAATCTGTCCTGTGAGATTTAACGAATGCTTTTTTAAATCCCTAGGAAGAAGGAGCACCCTGACTTATTTGAATGGTTTTGTGTGAAAACGCTGCAAGTTTGCTGTTATCCGGGGACTTACGGGCCAGACTGCCTAGGTATGTCTCTCTCAGGGAGATCTCGAGTGTGCCACGTGGTCCCCGTTATCTCTGTCGTGGGTCTGGGTGGGCAGAGCACAGGCGGGAACTGGGGCCGTGGGCTCCACAGAGCCTGGCGCTGCCTCCGCGCCGTGGGGCTGCGGCGCCACAGCTGCCTTCCCGCCTTGGGGACCTTCTCCGTGGGCCATACAGCTCTGCGCATCTGATCCCAACGTGCTTCTAATTCAGGGGTCCACAGACCCACGGCAGCCCTCACCCACCTGCCCAGGCGTTGCCCTCTGAGTACGGGGAGGTGGCTTCCGTGGCCCCCAGCACAGCTCTGCCTTCAGAGTAGCAAAGGCCGTCTGTGAAAGGCCGGCGGGGGGGCAGTGGGTGTCAGGCTGGACGCATGGCATTCAGCCTTAATAGGGGAAGCAGGCTCTTCCGTGAAGAGGTAGGCGCTGAAAGTGAAGCCATAGTTTGCTGTCGGGGCATTACCAAGGGTATTCACATTGACCAGCGGGGTCAAGTGGCACAGTTTTCAGGTTCAGACCCCCTCACTGGTCCGAGCACCTCCTGCCTGCCTCTTGGCTTTCCCACTGGTGTGTGGCCACAGCAGGATATTCTCACTCTTCCAAGCACCCCATGTGTGAGCATCTTTGTCCCATGTTTCAGGGAAGGCTCCCATGCAGGTGATCCACTGGGCCTGCAAACCCCAGCAAGTCAGCTTCCCAGATACCCTCACAGCCTCGCATGCCCCTCAGATAGATCCTACTTGTTCCAGGGGCAAAGTAGGGCTTGGGTCTTGGTGAGAAATCCGAAGCTGTTTTGATGGTGAATGAGTCGAGTGAGTGAAGAGGCATTTGCTCTGTGTGAAAACATGCCCCTGGCCACCTGCTGGGGTGCACTCTGAGTGGTGGGTTTATGTTCCCCACAGCATGCCAGGGCGGTTCCGAGAGACCCTGCAGTGGGAACGGCCACTGCAGTGGAGATGGCAGCCGACAGGGGGACGGGTCCTGCCAGTGCCACATAGGGTACCAGGGAGTGCTGTGCACCGACTGCACAGACGGCTACTTCAGCTCACTGAGGAATGAGACGCACAGCATCTGCACAGGTACCACGGATGCTGGCATCCAGGGCTCTGTCCTGGTCCGTGAGGCATGCAGAGGCAGCCTTTCCCGGAGCTGCCTGCACAGATGGGACGGGGGACCCATTGCCTTCTTACCCCAGACCTTCTGGGAGCTTAGGAGGCCCAGGGGACACTGGCCCTTGTAAAACATGTGAGGGGAAACAAGACCATGGGTGGTCTCGCTCTCGTCCCTAAACAACCCCCAGAGGGAAGAGGAGTTGCTCTTCTCCTGACGTCCTGGAGGACTCGGGGTCGGCAGTGCCGTTTGTCCACACTTGTGGTTCTCTGTGACCTGGCACCTGGAGTGTCCAGACACAAGACTGCCCACCCCCGTGGCTCTCCCGGCAGGACAGTGGCCCCTGAGTGCCCTGCTGGTCAGTGTCCTTGGGTGCGTACGGCGTGCAGCACGCATGGGTTGTGACCGCCACGTGCACATCAGGCTGGGTGTGGGCTCAGCGTTTGGGAGCCGCCTTTGCCAGATTATGAGAAGCCCCTTGGAGTCCTCATTTGCTAAGAATTTTTATCATGAATGGGCATGGAAAGCCCACGTATTGTGTTTCTTAAGCCTGGGAATATTATGAATCACACGAATGGATTTTTTCTGTTGAGCGAATCTTGCTTTGCTGGGATTTTTTGCTTGTTTGCTTTCAATTCTTGTTTTTACCTTGTTGAATGTAAACCCCTAATTTCTGCAGTGACCTTTGTGTCACGTTCATTACTGAGGATGGCATGCACACGTTTTGACGGATGTCGCCTCTGCCTTCCAGCTTGTGATGAGTCGTGTAAGACGTGCACTGGCCCAACCAACAGAGACTGTGCCCAGTGCGAAGTGGGCTGGGTGCGCGAGGACGGCGCCTGCGTGGGTAAGGTGGCGGGGCTCCTCTGTGTGGGGGGGACGTGTCAGTCCCCTTCGTGTCCTCCTCCCCTCCCTCCTCCCCACTCCCTCGGGGGTCTGCGTGGCCCCTGCCATGCTCAGCCCCCGCCCCGGGCTCCCTTCAACAGCCCCGTCCCAGGCTGTCTTCACAGTCTCACTGTGCAGGCCTAGGCTTACACTCATGTGACCTCGCCCAGGGGCTGGTTGCTGAGTGCGGCCCGCAGCTTTCAAGAAGGATCCTGTGTGGTTTCCATCTTGCCCTCTGCAGCCTGAGCCCTGGGCTGGGAAGGCGGACGCCGCACCAGCCGTCCTTGCTGTCAGGTGGCCCAGGGTAGTTTGTTGGCTCAGGCCCCAGGAGGGAAACCTGGGATGTGCCCAGTCATGTCTCCTGGTGCCCTGGTTTCATAAAATAGAAGGATGGGGAGTGGAGGGCTTCTGGCCGGCAAGCAGGCCGGTGGAGACTCCAGAGCGGGCAGCCTCTGACTGGGGTGGTGACAGGGATGAGTGGCACAGGCAAGGTGCAGGCAGGTCCTGCTGGTGTGCAGTCACAGGCTGGGAAACTGAGGCACAGACCTCTCCTTGACCTGGACAGTCTCACAGGTGAGCCCAGCAGCCATGCTAGTCTGGCTCAGCTGCAGAGAGGAGGCACCTGCCCTGGGTGCCGTGCGGACTTGAGGCTCCGGCCCCGGCGCCGTGTGTGCAGTCCTCTGCGTCCATCCCCACCCAGCAGCCCATCGTTTCCTTTGAGCTCCAGTCTGTCTGTGAGCTTACAAACGCAGCCCTGCCGCGTCTCAGAGCCCCAGAACCGCGGGCTGTCGGGGGCCCTGGGGAGGGTCTAGCACTGGCTGAGGTGCTTTTCTGCAGGCCCAGGTGTTGGCAGGCAGGTGGGAGGGTGGCAGGTGGAGGCCGGGCTCCCTCCCACCACGGCATCAGTTTTGGTTTCACCCTTCACAGCTGCTTGGCCTCAGGCAAATCAGGGCCTCAGCCTTGGGCCCCGGGCCCCACCTTGAGTGGTGGGCAGCAGCCCTCCATGACCTGGACTTGAGGTTTGTGTGAGGCTCTGTGGAAGCACAGGGCGCTCACGCATCGGCCCTCGGTCCCTCACAGCACCCTGGGCACTAAGCATCCCGCGTCCCCACCCCTGCACACAAGAGGCCTTTAAGGACGACCAGCAAAACATGTCCTCCACACAGTGGTCACTGTCCTCTCCAGGCCGGCCCTGGCCACGGGTGTGTCAGGCCACCAACTGTCACCTCAGAGGTGGTGGGGCCGCTCACGGCTGTGCTGTTGTGTTCCAGATGTGGACGAGTGCGCGGCGGAGCCACCCCCCTGCGGCGAGAAGCAATACTGCCAGAATGCCAACGGCTCGTTCGTGTGCGAAGGTGCCTGGGCCCGGCACCCCGAGCACCTCTGCAGTCATGCCTTGGTTCCTTTTCTTCCCTTTGAACGTTGTTGGTGCTTTGTCAGCATGACTGCTGTATATTCTGCCTACTTAGAAATATCCTAGTGGCAGCACAAGTGATATTTGCTGCGGAAAAAGCAGAAAATGCAAATAGGTTGAAAAGAAGATAATAACAAAATCCCTTGGTTCCCCAGAGAGGGCACCTCTGCTCATGTTGTTAACACACTCCCGTGGACTCCTTGATGCTCTCGTCAGTTTGACGTGACGCCTTGTTGCCTGTTTTTTCATACAATGATGTTGTGACCATCTTTGTACATCACATTTTTTTACATCACATTAATGATTTGGAGCATGCCGTTACTCCATAGTTATCCTCAACAGTCCATGCTGTTGGATATTTAAATTACACTAATTTTTCCACAGTTATACACTTCAAATATCCTTGAAGGTAAAGCTTTTCACATTCTTCATTATTTGCTTTTATTAGTTTCCAAATTACTCCAAATCCCATTCACACGAATGTGGATGTTAGGGCCACACCCCTACAGGAAGGCTGTGCCGGCTCCTCTGCCAGCAGTGCGGGCGCCTCTCCCATGTCTGCGCCCACACCGGGGGCTCTCAATGCCTGTGGCGTCTGCAGTGGTCGCTTTGACGATGAGGTCTTAGGCCAGTCGCAGCCCACGTTTCTCTCTTGTTACTTTTACTGAGCTCCTCGCAGCTGAGTGAAGCAGTGTCGCCAAGCTTGAGGTGGGTTTTGTTTTGAGAAAGGCTGCCGTACCCAGTTTTCACTTCCACAAACGGGTTTATAGCGGGATTGCTTTACATAGCGCCCCTTCCGCTCTATTGCTGTCTTGCAACTCTTGAGGAGCATGTCTGCTGCATAAATTTAGGCACATCCGTCCTTTGCCAGAAGACAGAGGTGGGTGAAAAGAACATACTGTCTGCAGCCCCCCATGATTGGCTCAGGGAACACGCGCGTTTCAGATCCCTTTGTGCTCAAGGGGAGGTGCTCTGCTGTCATCATCATCTTTCCCCTCTTGTTTCCAGAATGTGACTCCACCTGTGTGGGCTGCACGGGGAAAGGTCCAGGACAGTGTAAAGAGTGCATCCCTGGCTACACTAAAGAAAGCGGCCAGTGTACAGGTCAGTGTGCTGCACTAAGGCAGAACCTTCCAGAGGGACCACGATGTGAATGGCCACATGAAGAGGTGGGGGGGGGGACAGGGCACTGGGCTCAAACGCTTCCTGCAGACCCTGCTTCTCTAGCTTCTCAAGCTCCTGGGAGTCTCAAGAGACACAGAAGCAGCAGGTGGGGTCGAGTGTCTGCCCCAGCTGGCCCCCAGGTGTGCCTGGTGCTGGTGACGCTGGAGCAGGTGCCCGCGGCCTCGTGCCCTGGTCCAGCCTCATGTGCCCAGGCCTCCCACCTCCCGCCCACCTTTCCCTGTCAGGTCCTGGGCAACGGGGCCCCAGGGCTGGCCGTCGGGGCCTCTGTGGTGGAGGCCAGGCTGCAAGCTGCTTGGTGAGAGGCAGCGAATCTGCTGATGCCCCATGGCATGGGTGTCCACTGCGCTTCCCGCCTTCATGCATCCTGGACTGTCCTCTCCGCTTCTCTGCCTGTCCAGGGCCTGACTCCAGAGACGTGTGTTACATTCCCCATCTCGCTCCTTTCTCTGATGTGACGTGTATGGTCTTTGTGCTTTCTGTACGTGCGTATTTTGTGAGTGAGTGACTCTCATGATCCATGACACGTGTGTGTTTGCTAAATGAGGTGATTTGTTACAGTGGAGTATTTTTATCTCAGATATAGATGAGTGCTCACTTGCAGAAAAAGCGTGTGTGAGAGAAAATGAAAACTGCTACAATACCCCCGGGAGTTATGTGTGCGTGTGTCCTGAAGGCTTCGAAGAAACAGAAGACGCTTGTGTGCAGACGCAGACAGCGGGGGACGGTGAGTGGTCGGCTCTCCTGCCTCTGGCACAGAGGGAAGATTCTCGATGGGGCCTGCCCTCCCTCTGCAGTGGGGTTTGCCTGCACTGGGAACCCCCGAGAGAAGAAATTCACACAAGAAGTGGCCTGGGGATTCCGGGAAGACGAGAGGGTAAAACTGCTCCTGGGACAAAGTCCTGACAGGGGCCACGGCCCAGAAGGTGGGGAGACGGCAAGCAGTCACTGAGATGTAAGGGTCAGCCACCCAGATGGCTGCAGAGAAACAGACGTGGGGGGAGGTCAGGATGGCAGGAAGGCCTGCAGGTTGTCTCTGTGCTAGCTTCCTGGGCGGCTCCAACAACAGAAAGGTGCTGTCTCACAGGCTGGAGGCCAGAAGTCTGGGATCCGGTGTCACAGGGCCTGGCTCCCTCTGAGACCTGGAGGGAGCGCCCTTCCCTGCTTCCTCCAGCTTCCAGTGGCTGCCAGCTTGGAGCTCCTTGGCTTGCAGCCACATGTCTCCAGTCTCTGTCTGTGTCCAAATTTCCCTCTTAAAGGACACCAGCCATTGGAGGACAGCCCACCCCAATGACCTCATCTCAACTTGATCATCTGCAAAGACCCTATTTCCAAATAGAGTCACGTTCACAGGCCCTGGGGGTTGGGTGCCATCTTTTTGGGAAATAATTCTTCCCATGATAGTCTCATAGAAGAATATGGGGGGTGTGAAAGGCAATGCTCAAAAAGACAATGGCTAAGAATCTTCCAGAATGAAAAAGACGTGGCTCATATTCCAGAAGCTCCCTGAGTCTGAGCAGGATAAAGAAGCAAATCCACGTCAAGATGTGCTGTAGTAAACCATGTAACACCACAGACAAACGGTCGGCGGAGAGTGAGGACATGGCAGAGGATGGGACGTGGCCAAGCGTCACCTGGCTGCTCCTGGGCCTCCACCCGCCCTTTGCCCCCACGTTTCCTGGGGTGGCCCTTCCTCACCCACCCCTCATCTTCACTCAGGCTCTTGTCTCACCAGGTTGGCTCAGGGCGCCTCACCAGCCCCCAACCTCCCACCTTCCACACCCGGTGCTGTGTGGCAGCTCTGAAATGCCATCTGGCCGCGTCACCTGGGTGGACACCCCTAGCTGTGGGGGGCCTGGGGCCACAGTGTCTATAGGGAGCCTGGGTGCCGTCCCCAGGGCCCTGGGTGAGCAGTCCACCCCCTGCACTGCGTTGTCCCAGTGGAAATGTCGTGGCCATGTCCTCAGGGCCTTTTGTCCTGGGAATTTACTGAGTGACCTGCATTTGTTTTCTGACAGAAGTCACACAAGAAAGCCCAACAGAGCTGCCCTCCCGAGAGGATCTATGACGCGCGTCCAGCGTCAGGAGCCAGACCTGCCCCTTAAGTTATTGAGACTAACATCCTGGAAACGTGACCCTGCCCCCATTCCTCAGGGGACCGCTGGAGGGAGAAGCTGCCTTTGAAGAGGTCACTGCTCATTTGGCCCTTTAAAAACTGCATTTTTTGGTTGTTCTTAAGCAGATTTGTCTATTTTCATACCATTCTTTCTAATAAAATTGACCATTGAAGGCAGCCAGGCACAGAACACGTGTTGGGTCTCACTGGAAAAGGCTGGATGCTTTAAAGTGGAGTTTGCTCGTTCAGCTAGCACCTGTGGGGCAAGAGCCAGGAGATGCATGCGACAGGGACGCTGAGGCAGACGCAGCCCTGCCGTCCCTGGTGGGGCTCCCTTCCCCACCTCCCCGGAGCAGTCCCACCTCCCTTGCAAGTTCACTCAAAGTCTTGACCGGCCTCTAGAGTGAGTGTTGTCGAGGGACCCACACAGAGTAAGGGACCCTTGGGTGGGAGACAACCATGTTGAAGGGTTGAGCTGGAGATAAAAGTCAGCTGTAAACCTCAGGGCCAGTTCCTCACGTAGGAATGAAGTGCCAGGAAGAAGACAGGCTGTGGGGTTGAGGCCATGGCGACTGAGCCACCGGGTGGCGCTGTCTCCCTGTGCATGGAGGCGTCACCTGGGTGGCTGCTCCGCCTCCACTGGGGCTCTGTGGGCGCCAGCGGCCCCTCCCCCACACAGGTGGCATCAGTAGGTGTCCCCAGGGGCCAGGCAGTCACCTGACGGGCGGGGGCAGACCTTGCCTTTTTGGACACTAGGACACCAGACCGTGGGCCTGAGGCCTGCAGCTGGTGACCCCAGGCCTGGGGGGGTCCTCTCTTGGGCCCCTCCCCTGCCCTTCTGCCATGGGCACCTCCATGGGCTCCATGGGCCTGGGGGGCCTGGGAAGGGACGACACAGGCATCTCCATGCTGATGGCAGCTGCGGCCACAGGCCCAGGGTGCCCCGTTGGCCCTCACCTCGGCCTGCTCTGTGACCCCCCACTCCGGGCCCCCTGGGCCCTTCAGTGCTACACTGACCCGGTTCCTCAGATGTGCCCAGCTGGTCTCACCTCAGGGCCCATGCACTGCTGTCCCTTCTGCCAGCAAATCCCAGGTCTGGCACCTCTTGTTCCCTCCCTCCATTGGGGTCTCTGCTCGGCTGAGCACCACCCCCACCCCCTTCCCACCCCCTCCCCAAGGAGGGTTGCCACTCTCAGCAGGGGATCCCCACTTCCTTCTCTGAGGCTGGGGCCTGGGGTCAGTGGTGCGGCTCCCTCAGCCTCACTGTTCTCATCTGAAAACAGGCGGATGTTCCCAGCGGAGAGATGTGGGGCCAGATGAGATCGGGGGGCACTGCCTGGCCCACGGTGGGGGCTGGACAGGGGTGCAAGTCCGGCAGGAAGGGTGGAATGGACCCCAGCGGGACCTTGGCCCACGGTGGCTGAGGCCCACGTGCCGAGCTATGGGGACAAGGGCGCTGGGGGCTTGAACGTTGGTGCCTCTGCAGGGAGTCCAGCTCTGCCTGGTGCGCAGGGGGCGCAGTGCAGACGGGACAGGAACTCAGCCCAATCCCCTACCTCCAGCAGCATTCCTGTCCAGGACCTGCAGCCTTCCCTCTGGCTCAAGTCAGGCCAAGCGGATGGATAGCCAGGACCACACCCCTCAAGTCTGGCCCCCTGGGTGGAGCGGCCACTGGGCCTGGCTGGAGGATTGGGTACAGCCGGCAGGTGGCACTGCGGGACCACCCCGGTGGCCCTCTGCCCGGACTGTGCTTCTGGCCAGAGTTCTGCAGGGTGCAGGCAGCACTGGGTGAGATGCCCCTGGGCCCAGAGGGCCAAGGTCCCAGAGGACACACTGTGGCCAGGAACCAGCCCCCAGTGTTGACGAGAGTGTGGTGCTCCCAGGGTCAGAACTGGAGGGGACAGGCAGGGAGAAAGCAGGCCCAGGACACAGCCAACATAAGGCCTCACGGCCCCACAGGGACCCCAAACCTAATGACCCTCGGAGTGACCCAGTTCCCGTGCGGGCCATGACTTCTGCTCCCTCATCCCACATTGGGTGCTGTCGGGGTAGGGGCTCAGGAGCGCCCAGCCGGCCCACCTTCACCACTTGGACACCTCCTATCTCCTCAGGACCACGGGGCGCAAATTCCATCCTCGCTGCCCCCCGAGCCGGGCAGCCTGCCCCTACTGCGAGTCAGGTCAACGACCCTTGCTCCTGGTGGCGCTTCTGCTCGCCCTCTGGGTCCTGGCACAAGGGGCCTGGAGGTCCAGACGGGGGCTCCTTGCCGTGTCCCTTGGGGGAGCCAGGACCTCGGCTCTGCAGGGCCAGGACTGACTCCCGGGGCTGCTCCCACCCTACACTTGGTTCCCGGACCCAGGTGTCATCCTTTGGGGATGCAGCCCCATACGCAGGTCCTGGATGGCTTCCATCCCCACAGAGGATGGCCTTCCACCTGGCCTTAGCAGGCCGCTGCATGTCCTGTGGGGCTAGAATCTTCTGGAAGTGCAGAGTGAGTCCCATAGTCCCAGCCCAACCTTGCCCTGGCTTTGCTGTAAAGCGGGTCCCTCGGTCTGACGCATCACTACGTAGGATCCTGTGCCGTGGGGTCAAACATTCTGTAAGCCAACAGTTCTCAACACGTGGACCAGGGGACCCGGGGCCGTGTCTGGGGACATTTCTCACAACTGGGTGAGGAGATGCTACTGGCTCAACAGGGTGGAGGCCAGGGACACTGCTCAACACCCTCCAGTGCCCAGGATGGCCCCGTACAGGGAATGACCCGGCCCCAAGGGTCAGCCATGGCAGAGAGATGCTGACTGAAGCCCTCGGACTGTGGCCTGGGGCCTGGGCCTCTGTCCCCTGGGGAGGACATCCTGTGGACACAGGTCTGTTCCTGTAAGTATGGGTGGCTCCTCTGCCAGCTGTCTCCTGAGGGGTGGGCCATCCTGAGCTCCCCCATAGACGGGCGTATGAGTGGCCTTCATCTCTGCCATCTGTCTGTGTGCCAGTGTGCTGCCCAGGGCTGATGACAGGCTGGCCGCTGTCACCTGCCTGAGTCATTCTGTCTACCTCGAGCACAGTGAGTATGTTGTGGTGGGTGTTACAGGGGATTTAAAACATCTCCATCTGTGTCCACCCCACAGTCCCCTGCACGCCTCTCTTCAGACCCCCTTGTCCCTGAAAATTACCATTTTTCTCCTCCCAGCCCCCCAACCAACCAGCCAGGCTGCTTGGCCATGGGTCCGTTTCTCTTTCCACTGAAATGGATGCCCAGGTCCACCACCCAAAGCCCCGAAGCCTGGGAGGGTCGCCCGTCACCCATCTCTCCCAGATACTGTCCACTGTCACCTTGTACCCACACACTGCACTGACCATCCCTGAACCTCGACTGGGCTCCTCCCCACCTCAGCCGGTCACAGGAACCCTTGGGAGGCCACGAGGGGAGCTGCAAGGTGGGTAAAGGTGCAGGGGAGTGGGCACCACACAAGGGGGGTGGGGCACATAGGTCTGGATCACCTATGCGTGCAGTGCACTGCTGGCCTCCGGCCAAGCTCGTGTTGTGACACCAACATGTTGGGTGGTGCAGACTGCCGCCTGGGGACCCAGCCCCCTTCAGTCAGTGGGTTCTGGGTCTGAAACCTGCCTCAGGCCTGGAAACTGGGCAAGGGGTCACAACATTTCATGGGGCCTCCTGGTCATGAATCCTTGATTTCTCCTCCGCGGCCGCCTGTCCTGTGCTGCAAACACTGTGTTCTGGTAACCACAGCCTGGGGCATCTGAGGCCTTCAGCCCCACCCCAACCTTGCTGCTCACGAGAGAGCCATGTCCACCTGGCCCCAAGAGCCAGGTGCGTCATCCTGTCCCTGTCAGGTCTGGGCCTGCTGTGCTGTCATTCTCGTGGGTGTACCACCGGCAGCCAGCCTGATGGACCTGGGGTGGGGGGATGTCAGGGACTGTGGGGAGGGGATACTGGAGTCTGGGGTAAGGGTGGAGGCATGTGGCACAGAAGGCCTCACTCCTATGGGCAGCGATGGGGGCTGAAGGCTCGCCCTGTGGTTGGGTGGGACCAAATTTAAGCCTCTGCGGGGACAGCCTGTCACTCAGGCCACGTGTCCCTCTCCCGGTCCAGAGGCCCCTCAAGGCCCTCATTGTGGTTGGAGTCATCCCAGACGCCAGACTGACTGGTCCACAGCAGTGTGAGGCAAGGGGCCTGTCCTGTCCTGAGTAGGGCTGCGGGGAGAGGGGCCGCCCACTTTTTCAGAGCCCTCCAAGTCCCGTGGAGAGAAGTCCTCTGGAGAGGGTTTCCAGGTGACATCCCCAGGGCGGGCCTGGCAGTGAGCACGGGCTGTCTTCCTCCAGCCTGGGCACCCCAGGCCCCTCAGCCACCGAACAGCGTCCAAAGCCAGGCTCCTGTGCGCCCACCCACCTACGGCAGCGGGGAAGGCTCTCCCGCAGAGCTCGGCAGACAGGCGCTCAGAGACCGCGTCGGGAATGAATGGACGAAGCGGGAACCGGTAGCTGACTACGTCCTCCGCTCACCCCTGAAGGCCGAGGGGGCTCGCATCCGGCTCGAGGGCAGCGCCCCCGGAGGCCTACAGGCCACAGAGCAGCCACCGGGCCACCTCCCCCTAGCCCTGCCCTCGCAGGGGTCGTCCGTGGGCGCAGTGTCCTTGCTCGGGACCTGGGCGCGTGGCCCGCCGCCCCTGCCGTGGTGGTGGGTAGGGAGCGGGGCACCCTGCGAGACCGCGCCCGGCGAGGGCGGTCCCCTCGGGGCAGCTCAGCCCCTCGAGACCCCCACGACGCGGAAGGCGCGCCCTGGCCCCCTCCCTGCGCCTGGCCCCCCAGGCCTCCCCATCCCCCAGTCTCACGCTCCCAGCTCCCCAGGCCTCCCCATCCCCCGGTCCCCCGCTCCCAGCCCCCCAGACCTCCCTACCCGCGGTTTCCCGCCTCCCCTCCTCCCCTACTAGTCTTCCGCCCCCGGCCCCCCGGCCCTGCGCCCCCCGCCCCCGGCCGCCCAGGCCCGAGAGCGCGCAGCCTCGTCCTCCCGCAGCCGAGGGAGGGCTTGGCCGCCGCCCCTTTTCCGCCGTCGCAGGGCAGCTTTCGGCGGCGGGGCGGGGAGGGGGCGCACCCTGCTGGCGGGAAGCCGGGCGCGGCCGTGCCGGGAAGGAGGCGGCGCCGGAAGTGCGGCCGGGGTTTCCCGGAGGGAGGGGCCGTCGTCCGCGCGTCGCGTCGGGGGGGGGGCCGGCGGCCCAGCCGCGCCCCGCCCCTCCCCCGGCCCCCGAGCCCGCGCGTCAGGGCACTGGGAACCACCCCCGTTCCCGGAGCAACAATAATGCGTGGTGATGACGCTGATGGTAAAGCCCGAGGTTTCGGGTCGTAGGCGCAGCGCGTGCGCAGTGGGTCACCACCTTCTTGGAAAGCAGTTGGCGACAGGTGGCCACGGACCGGGTGCTCGCGTCCCTCGCTACGTCATTGCGGGCGGGGGGAGTGGGAGGTTCCCGAAGGAAAGAAGCCCGGCGGAAGCAGGCCGGTGAACAAGGTGCAGGTTCAGGGGTGGGGAGCGCGGCAGACCCCCACAGGTCCCTGCCGGTGAGGGTGGGGCGGCCGGAGGGCGGTCTCGGCCTGGGAAAGCGCTCCCTCCACCCGCAGGTGTGTGGGGCCCCAGGACTCCTGCCTAACGTGTGACTGGGGGACCCGCACTCGTACCCCCGCAACACCGCCCCCCGCCCCCCAGCCTCCTCCCCCGGGCCCAGAATGAAAGTGTGTTCCTTCCGTGGGGGCCCCTTACTGCCCGGGGTGGCCTGAAGCGCCCCTCGCCTAGGCAGTGCCGTATGGGCGCCGCGGTTCAGTGTCCATTCCAGCCCCTGCCCCGCTGCCCTCCACAGCCAGGCAGGGAGGGATGCTGCCTCCGCCCCACGTGTCTCCCAGGACCTCAGGCCTGTGCTTCTGGGAGGGCCTGGTACTTGTGGGAGAGCCAAGCCAGCGCTGGTCTCAGCAAGGCCTGAGACCCCACAGCTTCTCTGGCCCAGCTCCTCACCCTCCCCTCCTCAGGAAGACAGTGGACCCCTGGACACAGCCCACCTTCTGGAAGGGCATCTGGTGGGACCTCTGACTGGGCCATGATGCTCGAGAGTGGGGACGACGCAAAGGCCTGGAAGGTTGGGCCCTAACTTCACGCTGCCTTCTGAGGAGTTGGGCCTGATCTTTTTGTTTGTGTGTGGGGGGGGGGGGGGCATGGTTTGCCCTGAGCTAACATCTGTGTCAGTCCTCCTCTACTTTGTATGTGGGTCTCCACCACAGCGTATCTGCGGAGTGGAGCAGGTCCGTGCCTGGGATGCAAACCTGTGAACCCCAGGCCACCACTCAGCCACGGACCAGACCCCCGAGCCTGATCTTTTTACCACTAGCTGGGCATCCCTTTGTAGTTTCAAAAAACAGAGAAGGAACCTCTGAGCAGGGGGTGACCCGCCAGCCCAGGCCTGGGCAAGCCTGCCCCCTCCCACCACCTGCATCCCTTGATGTGGCCCAAAAGCCCAGCTGAACAGCCGTCTACTGATCTGCTTGTCCTGCCAGAGGCAGGGAGGGGCCTGCAAGGTCAGCCCGGACCCTGTGTCAAATCCACTTCTCGTCGTGCACTAGAAATGAGTGCTTTGCAAGGAACACATGGTTGGCGTGAGGGCTCAGGGTCCCTTGTGGACCCCACAAGCCCTTTCTCATCCCTCCCCACCTTGTTTGCTGCCACCTGAGAACCAGGTGTGGGAGGCAGATCTCAGCGTGCCTCCTCCATCCTGAGTCCCATCTGCTAGCTTACCCGCCCCCCCCCACCATCTCATGTGCCCCGCCATCAGCGCATCCGTCCTTAGAGTGAAGAGTGCCTGGCAAATGGCCCCCTGGGAGGGTGGGGGCGGGTGGGCACCAGCCTGGAAACCCCCAGCCTGCTGCCCCAGGTGAACCGTAGACCCTGGATCAGCCGCTGACCAGATAACAGTGGCCCTTGTCTGGCCGCCTGGGTGGGGGCTGGGGTACCAGCCCGGGGTGTCTCGGGCAGAGAATGGCGCCCGCCTCCCATCCCACCCGGAGGGTATTGTTCATTCACCCTCCACCCTCCCTATTGACAGCTCCTCTCCTCAGTGGAGCCGCTGTAAATAGCCCCCCAGCCCCTCACATAGGCCCTTCAGGCGCCTGCTGCCCGGCGCACACAATCGCCCACACATGCCCGCACACTGGCCCACTCAGAGCTGTGCACGCCTGGGCACCGAGCCCACTCCTGCTCCGGTCCACGGCCAGCCGTGTGGGGCTGCACACACCGCCCCAGCTGCCCTCGGTCAAGGCAGTCCCTGCACCCCTTGTGGGTCCACTCATACCAGGGCCAGCAGGAGGGTGTCATTTCTGTCCCTGTGTCAGTCACTGCCTGAGGCCAAGGGCCTGGAGCAGGCATTTTGGCTCCTCCTCCTCTGTCGGGCCTGGCCTGGCCTCCCTTCCTGGGGATCCAGGTGTGCTTGGTCTGCTCCCGTGGGTCCCACTCAGGGCTTTGGGCACGGCTCAGGCCCTCTCTGACCCTCGAGCTTTTCATTTGTGGAGCAGGCACTATAGTGTCTACCTGGCTGAGCATCCAGGGTCAGCTCCCTCAGCCAGCATGGCGACCCCAGCCAGCCAGGAGGGAGATCTCCCTGGAGAGCCCCTGCTGCCCCCCCACCCCCCGGGAGGCCCAGCCGCTGCTGGACACAGCCCTACTCTCTGTCCCAGAGCCTCTGGGTTAGGCCCACCTGTAAAGGGCACCAGCTCAGCGCAGCCCCACTTACTCTGACTCTCTGGTTCTCAAGGAGTGGACCCCAAGGCATCCCACCAGCCCCATGGGATGGGCACCACTGAAGTCCTGTCCCCTGCTTGCCCAGAGCCTCGTCGAAGGCAGCCAAGCCATGACTCCATTCCCAGGATGGCAGGATGGCCCCTGGCCCAGGAGAGCCTCCTCTGAGGACCCTGTGGCTGGTGGTGCCCGGCGCCTGGATGAGGGGCTTGGAGACCTCTGTTATTGTGCCAAGAGAAGAAAAGGAAAACAACACTGTTTACGGAAAAGGCACGTCCGCTGCTGCTGGCCAGGCCTCCCTGGGGGACAGAGGCCCTTTGTTGGGAAAACAGGAAGCAAGGATTTCCAGGACCCGTCGGGCCACCCGCCGGCCGCCCGCCCAGCTTCCGCCAATTCTCAGCAGCTTCTGCCGGCCACCAGCTGCCTGTCTGTCCATCCACTTGTCTGTGTGTCCCTCTGACCACGAGGCCTCAGCTTCTGGCTTTGGGGCAAAGCTGCTATCGATGCTCAACCCCACAGTAGGGGGTCACCTGGAGGCTGCTCTCTCCTGCATGGTGCTCCCTGGTCACACAGAGAAAGCACTCGAGAAGCACCCGCTGGCGCCTGGCTTCAGGCAGAGCTGGGAGCACGGTGGCCCCGGCCAGGCCCTCTGAGCATCGCCACCTTGGAGCCGCAGACTCATGCAGAAACCCACTGAGAGACCAGCCCCACGCTGTGAGCTGGCCACGAGCCAAGAAACGTGTGGGTGGGGGTCTTGTCAGGTCACCACAACCAGGGTGCCCTGAGGGCACAGAGAAAGGCAGTGCCAGCCATGGGGAAGGAGGGTTGAGGTGTGGGGCTGGGTGAGGAGGCTGACAGCCTAAGGCCCCTCCTGCCTCCTGGCTCTGTCCCCTCACCTTCCCTCCCTGCCTGAGGGCCAGGTAGGGTCTTGGGATCAGTGGTCATCATGTCGCTGCCACACAGGCCAACATCCAGCCCATAGCTGACACACTCTTACTAGCTGGACCTGCTACAGCATGGGCAAGTGTGCACGTGTGTGTGCTCACATATGCATGCACACACACGCGCTCATGTGCACAAGCACACACATGTGCAGTCACACACACACGGCTACCCCGTCCCCACATGCAGGACACGAGCAGCTGCACCCCCAGCCCCCACTTCCAACCAGCATCTGCTGGGAGGAGGCGCAAGAAGCATGGGGGGGCTGCCCCCAGCCCCACCCCGACTTCGGGCACTGGCCCGGAGCTGGCCCACGCCGGCCGCCCTGTCCCATGCAGCTGTGAAGTGCCACAGGGCACCTGGCGCTGGGTGGGAGCTGGGCCGGCGCTGGGGCAGGGTGACCGTTCCCCACCCACTACGCAGCCCGAAGCTGCCCTTCCCACTGCCCAGGCCTCTGCTCCTTGGAGCCGCTCCCCCTGCTATGTGCCCGGTCAGCTCCCATGGGTCAGAGTCGGTTCCACTGGTCCCACCGCGACCTCAGTGTGTTGGGGTGGGTGCGTACGGGTACAGGCAGGCCCAGGGGCCGTGGACCTGGCAGTCAGGAGAGAAAGGAAGTCGGGTGCACAGGAGGCTGGGTGGGCCCTGGGATCCTGGTCCCCTGGCTGCTGCCTGGCACCCGCGTGTAATCCAGCCTCTGACCCCTGCTCACCCTTCCTCCCCTTTGCATGCCCGGTTGTGTCCCTGGGAGTGGGCAAGATGTGATGTTGTCCAGAGAGGGAGGGCCCTGGGCCGGGGGGCTCCCACAAGCCGGGCTCTGCCCAGGCCTGGGCCACTGCCCCCTAGCCCCCAGGTCCTGATACTGCAGCTCCACCATGCTGGCCCCAAGTCCCTGGGTCCTGATACTGCAGCTCCACCACGTTGGAGGAGGCCAGTGTTTGGACCCCCAAAGTCATTCTGGATGTTCTTTCTTTTGTTCAACCGTCTGCTGATGAAAGAATGGTGCTCAGCCAGTTCATTCCAGGCCCTGGGCTTGGGGCCTGAGGCCTGGAGAGTGACCCTCCCAAGCTCGCAGGTGGCAGAGACTTCCACGGCGCTGATCCCTAGGTCTGCACCATCAGAAACAGCCACTGTAGGGGCTCAGAGGCATGGGGGGAGGTAAGATGCTCTCACAACCCCGACCAGGTGGCCCTCCGCCCAGCTCTGGCCCTGGCATGTCAGGGCTGAGGGACAGAGTATGGGACACGGAAGACAGCTGGGCCTCCAAGGTCTGAGGGTCCCCCCAGGAGACCCCTCCCTCACCTGCCCTGCCTCTACTGCCCACCTCAGTCCCTGGGGAGTGCTGGGCGCCAGGGAGGCCTTTTAGGGGTGAGGGAGGGGCCACACAGATGTGGGATACTGACGGGGGTGGAGGGACAGACAGTGCCAGACCTCGAGGTAGGAGCCTGTGTGTTGGAGCCAGGACGGCAGGAGCAGAGCATGGGGAGGAGAAGGTGGGAGGAAATGGGGCAGATCCAAGGTGGACAGAGGACCGCTTCCACCTCACGGGGTGGGAGCCGGCGGGGTTCTGCACAGAGGGGCGTGATCTGACCAAAGCTGGGGGACCCCTCTGCTGCCAAGCCGAGCATAGTGAAATTCCTGGCCCGGAATGAGGGGGTGTGGAGCGTTGTGGAGGGGCGAGCAATGATGGGATTCTGCGTGTATTTTAACATGGCATTTGCTGAGAGCCTGGGGTGGCTGTGAGAGTAGGGCAGCTCCAAGGTTTGAGTCGGAGGGCCAGGTTCGGGGTGGGGCTCAGTTTGGACGTGTTCCCCATGGTCTGGGTCCAGTGTCATGTCCCTGTGTCCAGGTCTCGGCATGCTGACACGGGTATGTCCTCCATGGCCGTGCTGACAGGCCACAGGCCAGGCTACTGTCCGCTAGCCTGGGCCCCCTGCAGGGGAGCGGCTCTGGCTCTCCCACCAATGGGACCCAGCAGCCCCACTGAGCCAGGCATACAGCAGCTGCTCAGGGCGGCGTGGGAAGTGACCTTGCCACTGTGTTGGGCTTGGAGGGACACCTGCATGGGCCCCACTCCTCCTCCAGATCTTTCCTGAGCCCACAGAGTCCACGTGGAGGGCAGGCCCCTCCTATCCCAGGAGAGGAGCACACTTAGAGGGGGCCGCTGGAAAGGGCACAGCAGCTTCCTGAAGACTCAGAAACCTGTAACAGATGAGGAAAGGGAGGGGGCAGAGGTGTCCTCGATGGTGCCTGCTTGGTGAGGGGCAGTGAGGCCCCCCCAGAGGTGCCACCTTGGCCAGCCGGATGTCTGCTTGTGTCTGAGAAGAGGGCACCCAGGGGCCTGGCTTCAGGAGACCACATCAAGGATGTCTCAGCTGGAACCCCCACCAGGGAATGTGTGTGTCTATGTGTCCATCTGTCCGTGCGTCCATCTATTTATCTGTCCATGTATCCATCTGTCCACCTGTTCATTCGTCCATCCGTCCAGCCATCTGCAGTGCTGCAGACTCATAGGCACTCAGAAAGGTTTGTTTAATGATGAATAAATGAATGAACCCACCCTTCCATCTAGCTGGTGCCCTCCCTCCCAGCAGCCTGACCTGGCCTGGCAGAGAGCGGCTCTCAGAAGATGTACTCGCTGAATGACAGATGACTGAATGAACAAGTGAGTGAAGGACTGTTTGATGAGCGAGTGAATGAATGTGTGAAGGCATGAATGAATGAGTAGGTGAATGAATGTGTGAAGGCATGAATGAATGAGTGACTGAGAGAGTGAATGAATGCACACATGAATGAACTGGCAGGCATGGATTGGCCACCCAGCCCTGCATCTGCTCACTGCTGACCCTGGGCCTTCCGAGCTGGCTCACCCTCCCAAGCAAACAGAGGCTGCGTGTGGGAAAGGGGAAATGGCCCAAAATGCTGTGCATGAACTTCTCGAAGCCACAGGCAGCGCCGGGGTGTCTGGGTGTCTGAGGCCGCCTGCCTCCCGCCTGCTGAGGACACAAAGCCGCAGCTGTTCCTGCCACAGAGGGCCCCAGGCTGGGCGGCGGTCTACCTTGAGTCCTGCCCAGGGCAGCCGGGCCCAGGCTGGGCTCCGAGGGGTGTGAGGCATCCCACCAGGGACCCCTCTGCCCTGGACCATGGGCTGAGTGATGTGAGGGCCCATCGTCACCCACCGGAACCCCCAGACTTGGAGTCGGCCTCACTCAGGTCTGGGCTGACTGTCACAGCAGGAGGTGAGGCGGGGAGGGGACGGCCCCTGCGTGGGTGGTAGGCTGCTGCTGCCCACCCAGGTGTAGACCAAGGGGGGGCCCAGGGAGACTCAGGGGCCGACTCCTCACAACTGGAGGGGTGCAGGTCAGAGAGGCCCTTCGAACAATCTCGGGAACTTTGAACACTTTGTCTGAAAATCGCTGTCCCTAAAGAGTACCCTCAGGTCTTGCCCCCAAAACCCGCACACCCAGAGCAGAGCCCCCGAAGCAGCAGCCGTGCCTGGGGGCTGGCGAGTGGGTGGCACCGTGGGGCTGGAGGGGCACATGGCTCCAGGACCTCCATGCCTGCAGCCCTTGGGCCCCAGTGCCCCGCGTCTTCAGGGAAGGACCCACAGGCCTATCGAGAAGGGAAGTTTCCTCCATTTACAAGGATCCCTGCCCTTGGGACACCCTGGTCTGTGACTCCTCCCTGACCCAAGCCTTCATCCCTGAGGGATCCGGCCTTGGTGACCACGTCCACTCACGGCCACGCTGGGGAGTGGGTGAAAGCAGCCCTCTCTCCCACCCTGTGGGACTGGCCACCCCTAATGACGCGGCCACTCTCCTCACCTGCTGTTCTTCGACAGTTCAGCTTGTGTTTCTCTGGCACCTTGTGTGTCCCTTGGTGAGACTGGGCCGCTTGGGGCACCAGGACCGTGGACCTGCAGAGCCCAGAGCTGTGTGGACAAGAGCACAGAATCTCTGTGTGGTCACTCCACGGCGAGGGCCACTCATTCTCCCACCCCTTGGACCCTGGGCACAGCGCCACCCAGGTCCCACTGTGGGTGGCAATGCCCCGGAAACCAGCACCCTGCTGTGACTCTCCCTCTGTGAGGTCAGCAGGATGTCCTGAGGGCTGCAGACCCCAGGCCTTATCATGTGAATGCAGGAGAGTTAACATGGTCCTGGAGCAGAAGTGCACTGTCTACATGGTCTGTTCCCTGCGAGTGCCATTTCTGGTCTTCTTTCTTGATCGGCATAGACGAGAACACACTCACCAAATTGACACCATGGACGCGGTACTGAGGTCTGTGGGGGCTCTAGCCCTGCTTCCACAGAGGTCTGCGCTGAGCCTGCACCCATCTGGTCACTTTCAGGACCCAGCAGGCCTGCGGGGGCCGGTGAATTAAATGGGCCTGCAGGAGGACCAGCCTTGCATCCTTCAGAGCTGCCCAGTGGCACTCATCTCTGCTGCATCGCCGCCAGGGACGTGGCCTCTGTCATCTGCCATCTCGGCGGTCGGGGGAGGAAGCTCCCGGAGTCCCTGCTTGGCTGAGCCACCATGACAGCTCTTCCCGGCAGGCTGAGCCTGCGGTGCAGGCGGCCCAGGGGCCGAGTGCATCAACCCCAGTTATACATTCGGGGAGTGGGGTAATGACCACTGCGGTCTGTGGACCCACCGCCGTCACCAGGGCGCCACTTGTTCCTGACCCCACGTCCCCAGCTCTAATGGGGCTGCGAAGCTGCTTCAGGTCTCCAGGTACCCATGCCAACACAGACCCTGTGTCCTCCCCCCAGGGTACAGCACTGGGGTGAAGGGTTGTGGGCCCCCGTAAGGGGTGGGGAATCATCGAGTGTGTCATGATGCAGGGCGGCACCATCCTTCCCCCGGCACTAGCCGCCTCTTCAGTTGGTGAGCCAGCCATCCACCACTGCGTTGCTCCTTCGCTGGCTGGGAGCTGCTGGGAGCCTCAGCTGGAGGCAGCGCTAACAATGCGAGAAGGCCATCAGGAGGACTGGGGGCGGAGTGGTGGCAGGATGGGACTCAGGTCGTCTCAGGCCCTCTGGCTGCCCTGCCAGGGGTGGAGGCAGAGAGATCAGCGAGGAGAGGTGATCTGGTCATCCAGGTGAGACAGGACGTGACAAGGACCAGGGGCGGGTGGTGCGCTGGGCAGATTCTGCACCCCACCTCCTCCTTTCGCACCCCAGCCATCCCTCCCCTCTGGCGGGCCTGGTGGCTGACTTCTGAGGCTCTGATGGAAGCTGCCCATGGAGAGGCCTCATGGTGGAGCTGAGGGAAGCCCCATCAGTGAGGCCCTGAATCAGCTGCACCACTTGAGTGAGCTTGGAAGCGATCCCACCGCTGTCGACCCTTCTGATGACACCGCAACCCTGCCCACCATCTCAAAGCAAAGGAAACCACTGAGCCACACCTGGACTCCAGACGCACAGACACCATTGGACAATAAACCTATGTTGTTTTAAGCCACTAATGTTTGGGGGTAATTTGTCACACAGCAAAGGATCAGCCACGCAGTGTTGAAGGTGGAGCTAGCTGTGGGTGTGAGAAGTCAAGGGTGATTCCAGAGCGTCGGCCTGAGGCATTGGCGGGTGGAACCGGCAGCGCCTGAGACAGGAGGGTGAGCCAGGCGCTGGGTTTGCCCATGTTGCTGGGAGCTGCTGGTTGGCATCTCAATGGAGTGCACACAGGTGCTGGGCCTGCGCATCTGGCCAGGCGAGGGTGGCATTGGCAGCCCAGGGACCCATTGCAAATGCCAGGAAGGACCCTCAGAAGGACCGGGGAGAAGGCAGCCATCCCAGCCTTGAGTCCTGGGCCACGTTCTGGTAAGAAGAGGAAGGAAATCCCACAGAGGAGATGGCGAGGGATAAGGTGGGCCTGAGACTGTGGGGCCTCCAGCCCCAGGAAAGGAGGAGGTCTGGGAGGGAGACCGCAGGGAGAGGTGAAGAGCAGCCCAGGGCGCTCAGGAGAGGAGGGGCGGCGACACAGACCAGCCCCCCAGGAGAGGCCGAAAAGTCCCCTGGCTAGCGAGGGGCCCCAGAGAGACTTGTAGGCTGAGAGAGGATTCCACGAAGGTATCTGTCAGACACTGTCGGGGAAAATGACAACGAGAGAAAGAGGACTCTGCGAGGGGCTCACTGAGCTGGCAGGGGCTGGGGGGTCTGCTGTGACATGGGCAGAGGGAAGGGCGGGAAGGACAGGGAGGGGGTGTCAGGATTTGGGAAGGGAGGGGGATGGCGCGGAAGGAGTGGGCAGCTGAGTGGGTGTTTCTCCAGCCACATCTAGCTGCCCCGAGTCAGGAGCGAGAGGGGCTGGGGGGAAAGGGGCAGTCGGTGGTGGCTGGGGATCTGGGCTGGGTGAGGAGGAAAGTGCGGACAAGGAGGGGGAGTCGGGCAGGGGAAACCTGGGGGTAAAGCAGACGGAGACCATCCTGAGATCCCACCCATACCCATCAATAAGGCCATTAGCAAAAAATCGGGAAATACCAAGTGTTGGCCAGGATGCGAAGAAACCGCACACTGTGCACTGTTGATGAGAACGCAAGATGGTGCCGCCACTGTGGAGAACAGTCTGGAAGGCCCTCAGAATGCTACATGAGGAGTTGCCATATGACTGAGGATTCCACTCCTGGGTATATGCCTAAAGGAACTGAAAGCAGGAACTCAGACAAAGATTAGTATGCCCAGGTTGATAGCAATGTTATTCACAGTAGACAAAAGGTGGAGAAAACCAAAATGTCCATCAACCAGAGAATGGATAGAGAAAATGTGGTCCATCCATACCACGGAATATTATTCACCCGAAAAAGGAAGGAAATTCTGACACATGCTACGACATGGATGAACCCTGAGGACATTATACTCAGTGAAATAAGCCAGTCACAAAAGGACAAATACTGATGACTCCACTCATATGAGGTCCCTAGAGTCATCAAATTCATGGAAACAGAAAGTAGAATGGTGGGTGCCAGGGGCTGGGGACCAGGATGGAGTTAGTGTTTAATGGGACAGAGTTTCAGTCAGGGACGATGAAAAATTTCTGGAGATGGATGGTGGGGATGGTTGCACAACAATGTGAAAGTACTTAATACCACCGAACCGTATACCTAAAAATGGTTAACATGGTAAATTTTGTGTTAGTAGATTTTGCCACAATGGAAAATAAAAACAGCTGAGTTAGTGTGGAGCAGTGTTTCACTCTTGTGGTGAGAACGAGGCCCACAGGCCCACAGGATCTGTGTCTGAACCACGTGGGCTCAGGGTCTGCACTGAGCTCGACGCCCTGACGTTTGCATTCAGAGAGCGCCGTGCACAGAATAAAGATAAATGGCAACACTCATGATAGTGATTTTATAATTTAATTTTTTTTTACTTATAACAACATCAAATAATAATCAAAAAACACTGTGACAACACTTGTCAACACCATGACAAGAGACAACGGAAAAAAGGAAAAACTTCGTGTGTTAGTTCCTTCAATGTCACTTCTCCCTGCCTTTTGAGCAAGGGGCCCTGCGTTCATTACGTAGCCACTGGCCAGCCGGGCCCACCGGTGGGAAGGAGAGGCGCACAGGGCTGGAGCCTCCGGCCTCGCCCTGGCTTGGCGTGCCTGCTGGAACCCGGAACCGCGCAGTGACGTGGTTCTGGGAAGGGACGCCATGGAACTGTGTTGACGCGGCGCCACGTGAAGGCCGCTGGGGGTGGTTGACAGGGCCGCTCTGCAGGAGGGACTCCCGGCCTGAGGTCCTGGCCGGCCCCGCTGGGAGACCTGGGGGGCGCGTGGTGTCTTGTCGTCACTGTTGTTTAAACTGCACGATATTCTGTGCTCCTTCCTCCAAGTACATTGCATTTGACAATTTCAATATTAAATTGTGTCCTTTTTAAAAAAAGACAGTTCCAGGGCATGTCCCACCACCACCTCCCAAGGGCCCCAGCCCCGGACTCAGAGATGTCCTGGGGTCACCAGGGGCAACCCGTGGGTCTCTAGTGGGCTTTCTGAGTGTCCAACAGGCTCCAGGAGGGTCCCCAGCAAGGGTCCAAGCTGCACTGTCCAGAAGGTCCCTCCAGGGCTGCCCGAACTGAGCTGCCCGCAGTGTGGGAGGCACAGGGGTCTTAGGGCTCAGGAGGAGAAAAGATGTAAGCTGCCTCCTTAAGGTCCGTTTACAGGGACTGCAGGTTGAAACGATAACATTTTGGAGAGACGGGGTTAAATAAGATGAATTGTTAACATTAATTTCATCTCTTTCTTGCTATTTTTGATTGCGGCTGTGGCCGGTGTGTGCTTCTGAGGGGGCAGTGCTTGTCCAGAGCACTCCTCTCTGCCAGCACAAACCACCATCAGATCTTTGTCTTTTTTTATGTCCCTTTCGGAGGGGTCTGCCAGGGAGCAGAGGGCTGGCGGGGGGGGGGGGGGGGGGGGGGGGGGGGGGGGGGGGGGGGCGGTGCCCTAGAGCCAAGCCCACCCTCTCTAGAACACAGCAAGGCCTCTACCTCCCCTCTGGTCCCTCAGCCCCATCTGACCCCACCCCCAGCAGCCAGATCCCCTCCCAGTCCAGTCCAACCCAGGCTCACGGCCACCTGCCCCTCAGCACTCCTCCACCAGTTCCCCACCAGGCAAGGGTCCTCCACACCTGGGTCTCCCCAGGTCCTGCCACACCACCCGCCCACGCTCTCCCCACCTTCCCACCTCCACTTGCCTGACCCAGCCAAGTCTAGCCATCTCAAGCCCATCCCAGAAGTGGACAGAGAACCTGGGCAGAAGCCCTGGGTGTCTGCTTAGAAGCCCCCACCCACCCCATAGCCCTGAAGGCCCTCGGCATGGGGCTGTGGCCCTGTGAGGGCAGGGGAGAGAAGGCCTGGGCCCGCATGGCAGACACTTCCTGTCCCACTGACGTGTAGAACCATCACCAGGGCCGAGGGACACCGAGGACATTGGGCAGTGATGTCTCTCGACCTGGATGAGACGAGGAAATGTTCTGAGGCCTGGCTGGGTATAGGACCTCAGCTTTGTGGCCCAGAATGGGGCTCTCCCTGTGAGCAGCAGGCTGTCATCAGCTGGGGGTGTAGGCATGGGAAGGGCCAGCCTGTGAGGACAACCGAGCTTGGGGTGGCTGTGCAGCCTAATGCAGGGGGTGTTGTGGGCCTGTGCAGTGTGGTCAGGCCTGGGTGCCCCCAGGCATTAACGTGCACACACACACACACACACACACACACAGGCTTCCTGGGCAGAGCAGCCTTCCAGGGAATCTATTTGTCATGCAAATTCCCCCCATCCCCCCCCTCCCCCCCAGCCCCCTTGGCCCTGCCAGCTTTCCTGAGGGGGTTTGAGAGCCCTATCCTGTGCAGTATGGGCCCCAGTGGGTCATGCAGCTCCCTTCCTCACAACGGGTGGCAGCTGAGAGGTCCCACCCCCCACGCCCCCGGCAGAGGGGCCCCAGCTGCAGACCCAGACTGGCTTGGGACTCAACCTCCACTACAGCCTCAGTGCCTAGGCCACTGCCCAGCCCCACTCACAGAAGCCCTGGGGCCACCAGGCTCCCTCCTGGCTTCCTGGAACACCCCTGGGTCAGAGGAGGCAGTCTTTTTCTCTTTCCTTGGCTGCCTCCAGGGTTGTGAGCCAAGAGGTAGGGGTGCTCAGCCCTGTGTCTGCCCCACCCCACAGAGCCAGGGCACAGGCCTGCTTAGGCCCCTCTGCAGCCCACCAGCTCTTGGAGCTGAGCCTGACCAGGCTCTCTTCCCACAGGATGTGTCTGCCCCCTGCCTGCTCCCTCCCCATCCAGGCACAGCCCAGGGTGCCTGGTGGGAGCCCAGGGAGGCACATGAGGTAGACCAGGCAGGCAGGGTTGGCTGCTCATCGATGACATGTGCCCTGGCCCTGCTGCAGCCCTCTCACTGGCCGAGCGCCACAGCCGGCAGTCCAGGACACGGTGTGCAGCCGGAGCAGGGCGTGTGTTTGCTCAGGGTGCCCAACAGCCCGCACACGGCGCCCCGGAGCTGTGGCCTCAGGACAAGGGCCCATTGTGTCCCCAGCCCCCATCTCCCCCCCCCCCCCTGCCCCGCCCCTGCCATCAGGGCCACCCCCCAGCCCCATCCTCCACTCCCCCACCTCTCCCCCTTCGCCCCAGCCCCACAACCTCAGCCACCCCACCACTCACCCTCTGTTCTCCTGGCCACCTTGCCTCTTGGCCCACGTCCTTGCAGTCCCCACAATGCCCACTCCCCCTACCCGACCTACTGTCCCCGCCCTCATCCCCCTAGACCTGTGCTGCCCACTGCCCCTCCACCACACTCCCTGCCCGCGCCCCCTAGCCTGCCCACCCAGCCCGGATCCCTGCTGCCAGCGCCCCTGACTCCCGGCCGCCCTGTTGGGCCAGGTTTCCCAGAGTCATGGGATCGGGATTTCTGGAGCTGCTCCCCCTCCTCTATGTGGCCCAGCCTACACATTCACGCTCATGCTCCAGGGGCCAGACAAGAT